CAGGCGGCAGAGGAAGCCCCGGGCAGGAAAGGACACGATGAGTCAGCGGCGGGGGAACTGAAACCCGGGAAATATCCCGAGCAGCGCTCACTTTCCTTTGGGAATTACAGCTGCAAAGCAGCGCCCGGGGATGAGAATGGGGTTAAACATTTAATATTGCTGGTTTTTCCCTGAAAATTCGGAGTGGATTCGTGCTGTGATGCGTCCTTTGGGTGCTGTTGGAACTGGGATTTGAACTGGGATTTGCATTTGGGGTGGGATGATGGCAGCGTGGCTYGGACATCTCATTAAACACCGCGGGGCAATTCCAATTGTTTATCTGTAGTTGTGCTGCACCAAAAATCCGAGTTTTTCTTGCTGCTGTGCCGGGTTTTGGGGAGGATTTGTGGTATAATTCCATTTTCCTGAGGATTCCTTATAGGAACGCCTTAAGTGTGTGCTCTGCCCGTCCCTGCAGGTGATCCGGGCAAATTTTGGGATTCGGGCAAGGACAGAGCGGGATTTGTGGGGTTGGGGGTCAGTGGTGGTGTTGAGAAACCGGGATCATCTCCAGGCAGGAATGCTGGAGGCAGAGCTGGAATATCCAGATTTGGGGACTTTGAGACCCTGAAATCCCCCAGGAACCAGGGCTGGAGTTTTTGGGGATCCCACAGCTCTGCACCCCCAGAATGGGGAGCAGGGTAAAGCCGGGTGCATCTACTGCTTAATCCCAAGAAATTTAGGAATTTYTGCACCTGGAAAATCCAAAATATCCAGAAAACCGCTCAGCGGGGTCTCCGCTGGGTTTCGCGTGGAGTGAAAATTCCAAACGCGGTTCCCATGGCTGGGAGGGATCGGGAATTCTCTGGGATCTCTCCTCCGGGGAAAATGCCCCGGGACAAAGCCCCTTCCCGCGGGCCAGGGCGGCGCTGCCAGGCCGGGATTTGGACACCAGACACCGGGATTTTTCCTGCCCTTGTGCAGCCGCCGCAGCCTCGGGGTTATTTTTATCCGGCGCTGGCAGCGGCTGCAGAAGGACGCGGCTTCCCAGGCTCGCCAGCTCCGCTCCCCGGGGCTCCCTGACTTTATTTGGGAAAACCAAGGTGCTCCGGGAGCAGGGAGGCGCTGGAAAAGCGTCCCGGCCCGGGAATTGCGGGGAAAAAGCGTCCCTGGTCCGTCCCATGGTGCCGGCAGGGCAGCCCGGGCAGGACTGAGATGTCCCCGCGGCATCGGGAGCGATCGAGCGGCCACGGGAGGMGCCGGGAGCCGGGGAGATGAACCGGGAGGGGGATGATGGAATGGGTGACATCATCGGGAAAGCGGCCCCGCCGCCCGCGGACGGCAGCTATAAAAAGGTAAGGGACAAAAAGGGACAGAAAGGAGCCTTTGTGTGCCCGCAGAGCGGGACCCGCGGGGGGAGCGCGGCCCAAATCCCGCCCAGAGCCTGGAATTGGGGGGCTGGGGCWGGGAAACTGGGGGGGTGTCAAAGTGCTGGCACCGGGCAGCAAACCTGACTCTGTCCTCGTCCCAAACCTGCCTCATTCCTAATCCCAAACCTGCCTCTTTCCCTGTTCCAAACCTGCCTCTGTCCTCATCCCAAACCTGCCTCTTTCCCTGTCCCAAACCTGCCTCTTTGCTCATCCCAAACCTGCCTCTTTCCCTGTCCCAAACCTGCCTCTTTGCTCATCCCAAACCTGCCTCTTTCCCTGTCCCAAACCTGCCTCTTTCCCCGTCCCAAACCTGCCTCTTTCCCCGTCCCAAACCTGCCTCTATCCCTGTCCCAAACCTGCCTCTTTCCCCGTCCCAAACCTGCCTCTTTCCCCGTCCCAAACCTGCCTCATTCCTAATCCCAAACCTGCCTCTTTCCCCGTCCCAAACCTGCCTCATTCCTAATCCCAAACCTGACTCTGTCCTTGTCCCAAACCTGCCTCATTCCTAATCCCAAACCTGACTCTGTCCTTGTCCCAAACCTGCCTCTTTCCCTGTCCCAAACCTGCCTCTTTCCCTGTCCCAAACCTGCCTCTTTCTTGATCCCAAACCTGCCTCTTTCCTAATCCCAAACCTGCCTCTTTCCCCGTCCCAAACCTGCCTCATTCCCTGTCCCAAACCTGCCTCATTCCTAATCCCAAACCTGCCTCTTTCCTAATCCCAAACCTGCCTCATTCCTGATCCCAAACCTGCCTCTTTCCCCGTCCCAAACCTGCCTCTTTCCCTGTCCCAAACCTGCCTCTTTCCCTGTCCCAAACCTGCCTCTTTCCCTGTCCCAAACCTGCCTCATTCCCTGTCCCAAACCTGCCTCATTCCCTGTCCCAAACCTGCCTCATTCCTAATCCCAAACCTGCCTCATTCCTAATCCCAAACCTGCCTCTTTCCTCATCCCAAACCTGCCTCTTTCCTCATCCCAAACCTGCCTCTTTCCTCATCCCAAACCTGCCTCTTTCCTCATCCCAAACCTGCCTCTTTCCCTGTCCCAAACCTGCCTCTTTCCTCATCCCAAACCTTCCTCTTTCCTCATCCCAAATCTGCTTCTTTCCCTGTTCCAAACCTGCTTTTTCCTCGCCCCAAACCTGCCTCTTTCCCTGTCCCAAACCTGCCTCCCTCATCCCAAATCTACCTCCCTCCTC